GACATGTGGTTAGCATTTCTAGCTGTATAAATACTTGCTTACCACACAGCTTTCTAGAAGAAAACTTCAACAAGTTACCTCTAAAAAAGACTAGACATTATTTTCCAATGTATGTATGATTTACACTCTTTACCAGGAGTATGTTTTTATTTTTTTCAAAAAAGATTTTGAGTGTATGTGTATATGCACGCAAGCTAGTGAGCACAGCAGTGGGGGGTGGACAGGGGGAAGGCAGAGTGAGAGGGACAAGCTGACTCCCCCACTGGGGGGAGGGAGCCTCAGTGGGGGAGCCCGATGCACAGCTGGATCCCAGGACCCTGAGATCATGACCTGAGCTCAAGGCAGTTGCTTAACAAACTGAGCTGCCCAGGAGACCCATGAGTATGTCTTATTAGAGGCCCCAGATGGCTCAGTCAGTACAGCATACAGCACGTGAATCCTGAACTCAGGATTGAGTTCGAGCCCCACACTGGGCATGCAACCTACTTAAAAAATAAAAAATTTTTATAAAAATAAAGAGGCCCCAAATCCTGATCATCACTTCATGACAATGAAATGCTATCTTATGAGTGGGCTTAGAAAGCTGCAGTGTAATGGAACAGAAAACAAGGCCCGGCATGGGTTATGAATACACTACTTGTTTAGTCAGATGAGTAATGTGTGAGGAACTTCTTTCTGCCCTAACAGTGTTTATTCACCTCTCAAGTGGTTAAACATCACGTAAGAAAAAGGCCCTGCACCATGACTGGCAGAGTGGTACTCAAAGACAAAACTTCCCTTTCCTGACCACTTCAACTGTCTTCACTGAAGCTTCCGGCACTCTTAAAGGCCATCTCCTTTCAAACTTTTCGGTTCCTAGCGCTCTCCAAATGATCGGCATTCATCTACTCCATACTACTTACAAAGAAGGCAGCTTCTACTCCCAACCTCATTCCTGGGAGCCACTTTAAGGTCAGATGGACAGTTATATATTGCCCACTGAGGTCCAAGCAGAGCTGCCAAGTTTGGTCAATTTTGTATCCCCGTCAAACCTAACAGCTGTAACACATGAGCCAGCCACTAGTGCTGATACTCCCAACTTCTTGGCATCCTGCAAGGACTCACATCGAACAAGTTATCCCTCACCTGTTTTATTTGGTAGTAGGACTTAAGGGAAGTAAAAAATTGTGACTGGAACCACTTCCAATTCAGTTGTAAAATCCTTCTATTTTTACCTCCAAACCCTTTAATGCAGCTACACACTCAATTGCTCGTTCTCTGAACTGCTTTGTAATTAAGTTACTCATTTCTTCACCTCATTTTTTTTTTTTTTTAAGATTTGACAGAAAGAGAAACAGCCCAAAGCAGGAGTGCCAGGTAGAGAAGCTTGCTCCCTGCTGAGCAGGGAGCCCAATGCAGGGTTAGATCCCAGGACCCTGAGATCATAACTGAGCCAAAGGCAGATGCCATCCAGGTGCCTCAGGCCTCAGATTCTTAATAAGCTTTTAGTCCCCTTAATACAGGGACTTTTCGAAGGACCCTCAACTGAAGATTTGCCACCTCATTCTAAGAACCTTCCTCTTAGGGGATGTAAAGCTCTACAACCAACACCTCTTATTCCTGGTGGTCTAGTGTTTAGGATTCGGCGCTCTCCTTCCCAACACCTCTTAAATTATCCTAGCCTATAATGGGTGAAACTTGGAAGTAGCATAGTTTAGGCCTCAATTCCTGAACTTGAACTCAGGTCAAACAATTGTTTCTAGGTACCAGGCTTGGTGGTGGTATACCTCCCTGTACCCCATTCCACTAAGTCCCTGTGTCATGTGTCATGTACTACCATGTGAGATAGGTTTAACAATTTAATGACAAGGGTGAATGGGTGGGTCTGTCGGTTGAGCGTCTGCCTTCAACTCATGTCATGATCTCAGGGTCCTGGGATCAAGCCCCACATCGGGCTCCCTGCCACTCTGCCTTCTTGTGCTCTGTATCCCTGTCAAATAAGTAATATTTAAAAATTAAAAATAAAAATTTAATTTACAAAATTCCAATTTGTATTTATTTGTAAGGGCTCTCATTTAAACAACATGGATTTTATCTAAACTATAAAGAAATTCTGGTGGCAGAGAGCCAGCTGGAATGGGTTAAGGATTACCAGCTGTTTTTTTTTTTTTTAAAGATTTTATTTATTTGACAGAGATCACAAGTAGGCAGAAAGACGGACAGAGAGAGGAGGAAGCAGGCTCCCTGCTGAGCAAAGAGCCCGATGCGGGGCTCGGTCCTGGGATCATGTCCTGAGCCAAAGACAGAGGCTTTAACCCACTGAGCCACCCAGGTGCCCCAGGATTACCAGCTGCTTTAAGCTTAAAGGAACTTAGGGGTGTCTGGATGGCTCAGTCAGTTAAGGATCTGCCCTAATTCAGGCCCTGCATGGGGCTACCTGCTCAGAAAAGAACCTTCTTTGCCCCTCCCTCCTGCGCTCTCAAAAATTTGTGCCTGGGTGGTTTGGTAGGTTGGGCGTCTGCCATCAGCTCAGGTCATTATCCCAGGGTCCTTGTATGGGGCTCCCTATTCAGTGAGTAGCCTGCTTCTACCTCTGCCCTTCCTCTTGCTTAGGCTCCCTTCTCTCATGCTTGCTCTCAAAATCTTTGGGGGGAAAAAATTTAAAAAAAAATTAAGAAATCATTTTCAGGGAGGAACTTTTAGCTATCCTTAGTTTTTTATACTGGTAATTTACATTTCCTTTCCCAAATGAACAATACTAACAGTTAACACCCCCAAAAAGGGTAGCATTAAGCAACTTTCCCCCTTGGCTTGATCTGCAGATTTGGAGGTAAAAACCACACCCCTAAAGGATGCTAACTTTCCCCATATGAAACCTTAATGAGGTACACACTGAAATAAAGGTGCTATTTACAAGTAAATGGGACTTGAAAAGCAGGGTAAAATCTGGGGCACCCGGCTGGATCCGTGGGTACAGCAGGTCACTTGACTCTGAGTCATGTTGGTTGTAGAGATTAAATAAAAATAAAAGTCACCTAATTTTTCTAGAAAGCTCAACTTTGCTCTGGAAATTGTTAAATATTCTCCATATAAGGACCTCTCCAAATGACAAGAAGTAACAATGTTTCCAGAAAGTTTCACTTCCTCAAGACCAAGTACAGACCTGTACTACAGTGTTTTATATATAGGTCACAGGGAATGGAAGAAAAACTAATTAAGCTAATTATTATACCTGTGTATCATGTTAGTCTTGGAAACATTTCAGCTGTTGTCATATGTTCTGTAACAAGAAATGGAATACTTAACGAGTCTAAATACTGTTATCCTAAATTTCTGCAATCTAATAAAGGGAAAGAAGAAAATCGAGCAGTTATCCTAGGTTTAGAGATAAATTTTCAATGATTTCTTCTCAGGATCTTGCAAGTCTGCTATACAGCTGAATTCTTTTGCCATACTCCAAAGAAATCTTTAAGAGCATTTGTGTAGGTATAGAAAATTGAATTCAACACTATCAAACTGTTTTGATAAAAATATACTCCAACCCAGTTTTTCTTCAGCTACTTTAATTATAAAAATCTATCATGGTCTCAAAAAAAAAAGAGAGAAGAAGAAAAGAAAAGCAGAAGGCAACAGTCTAGTACAAAAATTAACAACTGGAAGACAATTACCACCAACTAGATCTGACAACTAAAAATCATGTTCAGGACTCTGAAAATAAAAACAAATTAAAACAAAGCACTAAACCAGTAATTTATTTAATCAGGGATGTTTATCACCTAGAACTCTTTCAAATAACCAGTGTTTGATTACTCTTTAAAAAAAAAAATGCTAACAGGCCTGGAATCAAGGCTGTATTTTGGAAAAACTTTTATCAACAGCATTCCTGGTAAAGCACTATACTAACATGAACCATATTAACACTCTAAGAAAAAGCAACCAGGACTTCCCATCCGATATGGGTGAGTCTAACTAAAAAGGGGGAATGACGTCTATGGATCACAACTAGGTAAAGAACTGTGAAAGTATGTTAACAGTAAATAAAAGGTATCTACATCTGATAAATTTAAAATTTCTCTGGCTAATTTATATTCACCTTTCTGCTTAAGACATGAAGGTCAGAAGTAACCCACAATTAGGTGAGAACCAGATAATTATTCTGGAAAAGTATAAAAACCAACTATAAATGCTTATTTCCTTAAATCACCACCCAGTATTAATAGTGACCTCAGTGAACACCTGTAGTCATTACACTAGAAGTCAATTTTTGTCACTCATCTTTCATTATTGTACTTAAAAGGATGCAGGGACAAAACTGGCTAGTGAAAATCTACAATTTTAGAAATTACAGTAACCAAAACTTTTAATAGCCAGAAGCTGAATGTGCAGGGATTTTAACAGCTTCTACCACCTTCCCTACTTTTTTTTTTAAACAAGCCATAAAAACTGTGCTGGGTGCTTCTGGTTAAAGTGATTGCAAATTTGGCCTGTTATGTCGGGATCACTCTGAGATCAACTTATAAAGCCACATTGTACCCATAACCTACTATCCTTTTTACAAAAACCCAACTTACAAGTCTGCAAGTTGTATACTGCCAAAAACATGCATATGAATGTCCATTTATAAGAGCAGTTTGATTATTGATACACCGTATTCCTTCCATAACCTCTTAGCTATCTTTCCTTGTTCTAAACCCGGACAATTTTAGGCTTTGAAAAAATGCAGAAAGACAGAAGGCCCAAAAAACCAGAGCTCCCAATACATCAATAGTCTTAGAGGTCTTCTCTAAAGCGGCTCTCATACGCAATCTGACAATTCTACCTTAGGATACCAAGGACTCTCCTCCTTTGTTGGGATCTGCATGAAAGGTTAAAAATGACCATTGCAAACAATTTTTTTAGGACCTACATCTTAGAAAATCTTTATAGACTCAATGCAATGACTCATCTTTCATATTAAAGTCAGTACAGCAATAATCCCAAACTACCTTTAAGTAGCACATTTAAGGAAACTAAGCCACAAGACTGTTGCATTGTGATTTAATCTAATTGCACAAAAATTTGAAATTACAACTCCTCTGGATTTCTAAGAGGAAGGTTATGCATGCCTCCAATTCAATTCTGCACTGTTACATTTGAACCATATAGAGAATTTTACATCATGATGGATCAATTTAGAATTCCCATGCAACACCTCAAATTATAAAATGGAAGCAATTTTTAAAGCTTTGCAAAGGTCTCATGCTAATGATAAAACCCTTTTTTAATGGGTCACTTTGGGTTATAATGTACCATGTTTGCTATACTTTAAAAATGTTGGTCACAGAGTATCATGGTCTTTGAACTAGCTCCTATTCCTAAAAAATGGTTAAGTACGAACAATCACGTAGGTGACAACCAAAAGTTCCCTTCAGCCTCAATTGTGTTTCTTGTAAGATTTGTGTAACCAACTGATTTCCATGGGACAAGAACTATGGTAATAGTGGGTTCGACTGTTATACAATTATGCTAATATTTTATTAATTCAAAAGCACTTTACAAGAAAATATAAGTATGGCTTCCAATAGGAATGTTATACCTGGACTTGATACCAAGCTCACAGATTTTAGTTTTGCAAGGAAAAACAGGCTTTCAGGTTAAACAACAATTTGTAACCAAAACTTTAATCCCAAGGATTCTCACAAACATATTACAAATGACAGCATGAAAAAAAAAAATCTTGCACAGTAACTCAAAGTTCAGCTCTACAATGTACCCTTAAACTGGCAGAACACTGGTATCTTTAAGTTTCAAATTACCAAATAGAGAATGTTACAAGAGCTGTGTGTTCATATACAGCAATCATATAAGGAACTTAGGACCTAAAACAAAGTTAAACTAACTTTCTCGAAACTTCCAATTCTATACCAACTGGACACCCTGCCCAGTACGAAGACTAGTTGGATTCTTTTTTTTTTTAAACCTCTAATCTAGTTTAACAGTGCAGCTTAATTTTTACCTGCTGGCTTGTGTTCATACCAGCTTTTAAAGGCTGCTTATTTAACTACAGCTGCATACTATTATCCCAGCTATGGAAAGACTTCATTCAATTTTTGCCAGTTTTGTTCTCGTAATATTAAATGTCAAGGTTTAGCTGGGCAGGAGTTAGGAGGTTTATTATCAGTCTATGTAAGACGAAACTTCAAAGCAAATTCAATTTTGCTTAAGGGAACATTGTAAAGTAACAATTCTTGATATTACATGCCTCGTATGATCCATTCAAATCATAGAGAATTACATCTTTATGTGTCACTGTTCCAAGAGACAAACAAATGTGAACAGCTAAAACATCTTAAAAATGCACCAAAGCTTATGAAGTCTCAAACAAAACTTGAATTTTCTGTACATACTCCTGTCAAATGAAGTTATTTCCTGTACACCACTCCTCTTGCAAACTGGTCTTCTATTTCCTTTCATTTGATCTAGATCGGCTAAAAAAACAAGAACAAAAGTTACATGCATTTCTCAGTAACACAACTACATCAAAGGCTTTTATGGAAAAATAGTTAAAAATAATCAAAATGGCTTAAGATGACCAATTCCTGTTTTAACTATGTTATTTATAAACAGTCTAAATCCTTAAAGATCTTACCTACGAGACCTAGAAAAGGATCGGGACGGCTTGTGATTTCTCTCCCGAGACAGTGATCTCTCTCTCCTCCTATCTCTAGAAAGGGACCTAAAACCAGAGGAAGAAAATCAGGACCATTCAGAATTACACACAACAAACATCTGTACAAAGTCTTCAAAAACGAGAAGTTGGTTCATTCCTGCAACACTGGCTCTATAGACCACTTGATTAATTACTAAAGCCACAGTCTTTTTACCTTTAACCACGTCATTTATAGAACAGTTTAAGAACAGAATGTTGTCATTTCTGAGAACGTAACCAAAAAAGGTAGTTATTTACCTGCTCCGGCTGCGGGAGAAGCTTCTCCGTCTTGGAGATCTAAAAGCAGAAACAGGAAAATTAGGCTAATTGTCAATTAGTATTTATGGCGTGAGGCATTTCCCAACTTTTCAATCTCACTGTTGGGCCCAGTGATTGTGCCGAAGAACTGGCACCCATCGTCCAAAAAAATAAATGAAACTAAAAAAATAAAAAATAGGAAAAAAAAACAGAAAAGAAAAAAAGGCACAGAAGGATTAAGGAACCAAAAGCTCAAGTGTGAAAAGCAGGTATTCCAACCATGGATTCACTTTAACAAAGAATGCTTCACAGCAGATCTGTCCAATGCAAAACTTCATGTCAAACTAACTCCACTACCCAAACACCACACCAAAATATAGTCCCACAAGTAGTTCCAAAAACAGTACCATAAACCAGTATTTGGAACCCATGCAAACCTATAAGTCCACGACAAGACTTAGGTACCAGGTGGATAGTGTAATTTTGTGAAAACGCGCTAGGTGTAAAATACTGATGCCATTAAGTGCTACATTAGAACTGCATTTGTGATCGTCACATTTAAGAGTGTGTTTAGGCTTATAAAAAATTACCTTAAGCTTGGCCCACTTCACCCCCAAAATTTAAATTTTGAAAACTGTTAGTAAAACCATTTAAAGGTGATAGGATTCAACAAATTTTTGCTAGAAAGGAAAGCTAAATCTGTTAGAGTTATTAAAATTTTTAGTTTGGCATCTCACACATGCAAATAAGTTTCACTTGAAGGTCTAGTTACATTATGAGTTCCCTATCACCCTTAAAAGTTTTATTCAAGCAATATATATGTACGTTACCATTCAATTATGCACAGCCAGCCTTTGATCCAGAAAAAAGAATTACTTTAAGCCGCTTACTCCTTATTTTAACCAGCAGTAAACTGTATAAGCAGGAAAAACTTACTAGTTTTGGGTTTCAACAAGCTAGAAATGGTGAGGTGAGGCTGCCGGACTGACGGCCAGGAAGAATTTGCTGAAAAGGTTTTGCCAGATGTTGCGTTGGATTTAGTTGGTTGGCGAAGGGGGTGTTGTGGATTTTTCCTGCTTTTTTGTTAGCCGAAGGCTGCTGCTGTAGTTGTTGTGAAGACATTTGGTAAATAAACAGCTGAGCTGATTGGCCAGGAATGTGTGGGCGGTCGAGGTGGCTGCTGCCGATTTGGTTAAGGTTGGAGAGAAGGCTGAGAGAAAACAGCATGCTCGGGAACCAAAGGGCGGTGCAACCTGACGACTGGCCATGCCTGGGTCATGTGAAACGACACCAGCCAAGCTGAATGGGGCGCGCTGGTCACATGACGCTGAAAGGGCTAGTTGACTGGCTAATGCAGACTCAGAGGGTGGTGAGAAGAGACATGATGGTGACTCTGTAACGGGGTTCATTTTTATTAATAGATGGACCAAAAAGCACAAAAAAAAATGAAAAACAAGCCATCAGTACAACCATCTATTTAGCTAACAAATACTCTTTATTATGATGGGCAACAGTGTGTTGTTTTGTTTTTCAAAATAGCAAAAGGGGCAAGATTTTGAACTCCTATCTCCTAGAAGGACTTCACTCACCTGTAAGAGGTAAATTCAGTCCTATAGAAACTATTTTGGAGGTTTGAGGAGATGTGGAGTTAGCATCCAGACAATACTGCCTGGTCCAAGAATGATGCCATTTTCAATTATAAAAAAACTGAAATCTCTCCTATTTGGGTTTGAAGAATAGATGACTGGGATTACTTTTTTAGCCCCCTTTTTCGGTCAGTGACTTAAGTTAGTTTCAGAATGATTTCTACTTTACCAGTTGTAACATTACAACAGCTGCCTGGTTGATAAATACTACAACCGTGCTGATAGTAGAAAACACATTTTTGTGAAGAGCTAGAGTTGAATGTAATGTTTGTCATTATGGAGTCAAGAAATGGAAAAAGGCCTAAATTGAAGTATAAGGGAAGACTTGGAAAGATGCAACTAGAAGATGAACTAGAAGATAGATCCAAGATAGAAGTTACTGACTACCAACATGAACAGTGACCTAAAGACAAAAGCCAACACTCAGCACAACTCACATACCCCAAACTACACCCAGCCAATGTTTCATAAAAACCTCCGATTCTTCAAAGTTTAAAACCCACCAACGAACTTAAGAGAAATACCTGCTCCTATTAGCTACTCCATTACACCAATACCTCTAAACACGCTCTCAAGTACCTGCGGCGAGGTGGAGGACTTCTTCTCCGATAATCATCTCGAGGGCGACGACCCCAAGACGGAGGTGGGCCACGATTTCGACTTCTCTTTTCACCATTAGAGAGTTCCACTCTTACTCGGCAGCCACATAATGTTCTAAGGGAAGAAACATTATTACATTTAAACGAGTTGAACCAACTTTCTAAGAGATGTGTATTAAAGCAAAAAGCAAGCACTCCTATTTTAGCTTCTCGCAAAGTACACACCTCAATGTCTACAGAATCCTCAATAGCAAAGCAAGTTTTTCTAATAAAACAAACTTTCTTACATTTTAGTGCTTTGTTCAACTCCATGGAAATGGGGGAGTTTTGTTTATTTGTTAACATTTCAAGTGTGAAACCCATGGATTCATCCTCAAAGAACTAGTTCATCTGTACATCCTGCTGGGACTTTGAGATCCTGAGATCCCAACACCTGTTTATTGATCTTACTGTATGTGCTGGTCTTTCTCCTCCCTCCACAACCCATCTCCGTGCAAAGCAGTGAACTGAAGCATTTTGGCCATTTCACATCGCCATCACCCCTCAGTGGTCACTCAGTAACTGACACTTAAGGAAACTGCTGCTGAGAAAAGTAATCCCCCACCTCTTTGTTATTCCACATCTGTTTAGATAAACCATTATTTATTTGGACAATGATCAGGAAGAGGTGGGGACCTGGAAAAATCTTTCTATAATCTGCCTGTATAAATGACCTTTTATACAGCTTTGCAGTCAATACTCAGACCCCTTAACTTTTGGATCTTAAGTATTAACCATTTCCCCTGGTTTCATGAGATCCAATAGTTCTCAAAGACCAGGAAGGAGGGGAAGGGCAGCACCCATTTCCTCTAAGACTTAGGTGTTACTTATCAGCCAGTTAAGAGGACACCATAAACACAAAAGGAAATAGCTACATACTTCACCCTTCCTAAATATCTAAAACACGTAAATGATGATGGTATAATAAGCCCCATGTAATCATCATCCAACAATTGTCAGTCTGTGGCCATTCTTATTTGAAAAGAGTATCTGATTTCCAATGGTTTCAGAAACAACTCAAAGGTGACACCATAGGTGACACTTTGAGATGTAGATTAAAATGTTTTAATCACATTCTGGATGCAAAAATCCACCCACCAAGAACTGACCCACTAAACTTATTCTCTTCTCTGGCCACCAGAATAAAAGGAACCTTCTTGTGTATCTTCAGTAAAACTGTTCAGTCCTTTTTCATTGTAGCAAAGACTTATAGAAGTCTCTAATAACATTAACTTCAGATAGCCAAGAAGCCTTCTAAAAGCCACATGTCCTAGAAAATTTTAATATTAATATTTACCATCAGTATAAATTAGTCATTAAATTACCTCCCATCTAGTTCTCGGACAGCATCGGCTGCATCTCGGGGATCTTCAAATTCAACAAAAGCAAAGCCGGGAGGGTTTCTAGCAACCCACACACTTCGGAGTGGTCCGTAGTAGCCAAAAGCTCGTTCCAATTCAGTCTTGTTACCATTGTTTCCAAGATTACCTACATAAACCTTACAGTCCAATGGACAGGAATCACGATGCATTTCTGTAACAAAAAGAAATACCCCAGACATTAATCATTTATTTAATAATTGACACAGTTAACAACAGATCCTTAAAAAGGAATGCCGAAATACTAAAAACCAAACAACTACTACCCTCGAACCACCTATTTCTCTCTAATCTGTACTGACAAACACCAGGAAGCCAGCACAAATTGTATTAAGAAAAAAAGGTCTCACTGAAAAATCCAGGGAGGAAAACAAACACCGAAGGGGCATTTACTACAATCTCGGGACTGAATTAGGGACTTTTACAATTAATCTCAAAAATAAAGCTCTTCGAAAAAGTAGGATAACTTGCTGAAGCAAATCCTGGAGACACAAAACCCAAATGAAACAATGCTTAAAACACGACAGTAGTTAAGGCTGAGCCCCTTGAAAAATGGTACTAATGTGCCCTCCTAAACAAAAACTTAACCAGCATCACTCCTCAAGCAGCTTAGTGTTAAGTTTTTAAAAAATAAATGTACATCACAGTGCTATGAAGTGTGTAAACCTGGAGATTCACAGACCTGTACCCCGGGCCAATAATACATTGTATGTTTATTAAAAATTTTTTAAGAAATGTCCATCACAGCAGCACTATTCTCAACAGCCAAAATCAAAAGATAGGGATAATCAAAATGTGTTATCCACACAATGATTATTCAGAATGAAGTACTGATAAATGCTTCCAACATGAATGCAAACATGCTATTTACAGATGCCAGACACAAAAGTACACATGCTAAGATTCTACATATATGAGATATAGAACAAGTAAACCCAGAGACAGATTACTGGTTACCAGCAGCTGGGGAAGAGGGCAGGGGACATAGGGAACAGCTGCTTAATAAGGTACAGGACTCCTCAGGCGATAACAAAAATGGTTTGGAACTAGGGAGGATGGACACTCAGCACTAGGAATGTACAGATTTGCACTTTAAAACGAAATCTGTGGGATGCCTGGGTGGCTCAGTTAGTTAAGCGGCTGCCTTCGGCTCAGGTCATGATCCCAACGACTTGGGATCTAGTCCCGCATCCGGCTCCTTGCTCGGCAGGGAGCCTGCTTCTCCCTCTGACACTCTGTCTGCCTGTGCTCTCTGACATAAATAAATAAAATCTTTTAAAAAAAAAAAAATAAATAAATAAATAAAACAAAATTTGTTAATTTCACGGGGGGGGGGATTTCTTAGAGCACGTATTTACTGCCCTTTGGGGTCTTGCATCTGATAGATCTTCAAAAAAAATCACCTCGACAATCAATCAAAATCAACCTGTAGACCGGTTTCAACTACAAAAGAGTAGCCAACCCAATAACCCAGCTTAAGGGTTTCTCATAAACAGTACGCTCTTCGCACTCTTGGGCTTATCCAATTAAAAAAACTAGTCCAGACACATCCTATTTGCATGACCCCACCCTGTACCCTGGAGTTCTGAAGCCAAATCATTGCTGGAGATTGGAGATTGGTTTTTTAAGAACTTAGCCGTAAACCGTTTCAGAGTTAACTATCAACGGGAAGCTGCTACGAGAACAAGGCTACTCAAGCAAGATCCTCCAGTTAAAAAAAAAAAAAAAAGTGACAAGGTACAGAAAATCACATTAAAATTAGATAAAAATACAGGTGAGTACAGAAACCCCGTAATATGGATCAAAAGGTCCAATCTCGATTGGTGACTTCAGAAAAAATATTTCAGATTAGCTCCCAAAGAAAACGTGGGGGGGGGGGGGGAGGCGCCATAAATTGAAAGGCCGCAGCACGGAATACAATTCGGCTAGCGGCTCCCCCACTTCGCCTTAACTTTCGGGTAATCCCACTTCTCAATTTACCCCTCGCCCCCGGAGAAGTTTATAAACACCTCCACTTCGAGGCCCAGGTACATTCTCTGATGGGCCAAAAGCCCCCGCCACCGCCCCATGCCGAACGTCACAAAATGGCGGCGGCGTCTCTTTGTCTCAACCTGGCGCCGCCATTGGGCCTGGTCCTTCCGCGGTCCTGTTAGATGCCATTTCCCACTACATTCCTTTAGTAGCCGGTCACTTACCGAGATCTTGGATTAAAAAGCTGACGCTCAAATCAACACACCCTCGGATGGGTCTTCCCGCTTCCCGCTCCCCACCCCTCCCGGCTCCAGCAGATGCTCCCGCTGACCCGGCGTCCACGAAATGGCGGACCACCGCCTTCTCCTCGCCCCTATTTATACGCCCCGCTGCAGTCACATGATTGGACGGGCTCGTCCAATGAGAGGCGAAGGAGGCCGTGACGTTACAGCCAGAAACGCAACGAGAATCGCGGTTGCTGGGAGCGCGCTCTGGCTGTGGCGCTGGGACCGCGGGAGACCTAAGCCGCCTAGCTCCAGTCGACTCGGCCCTGGGGCATCCTCGGGTGTTTACGCGTGGACGTTCTCCAAGTTACCCTCAAGTCCCCTTTCCCTCTTCTCCGGATAGGCTGAGGTTTCATAACACTACTGTAGTCGCTCCCAAACACCGATTGAGCCGTTTCCTCCAAATAAGATTTAGATAGTAGATGAATTCGTTAATTACTTAATCCTCGAGAGCGGTTAGACTGGGATTAAGACCCTCGCGTTTACAAACGTGCTTTCGAGTTTCTCCCAAGGTCACTGAGCTATGTATGACCAAGCCAGCAGAGCTGCACACCAAGCTGTACCCGCCCACGTCCCACACTATGGAAAAGCCCGATCCCGGAAAGCCGGCCGGACTCTGGCTGGTTTCCCGCCTCTCACCCAAACCGAAGCTTTTGGCAGAGAGGGGTGGCGTCATTAGCCGGGACTCAAAATGTTTAATAGAAACTCAAAGGCCAATGAGACCTCACCTGGTGAGGTCTGGACGCTCACCTTTAGCAAATAACAGCAAAAGGAACTTCCTGAAGAAGAAATAGTTTCAATACTGGGCCCCCAGACGAATGCCAGGAAGGGCACCTCCGGCCTTTCTCCTCAAAGAGGCTAGGTTGCTACGTTGACTTGAGGGTGGGGCTCGGGTCCTTAGACCACTCACATCTTCCTCTGTTTTCCACTTCCCTCTAGAGAAAGAGAGCCACAAGAATAGTTAACTACTGGGAGAGAAATACCTCAATCGTGCTCCGAAAATGGTTAAGCTCTCCCTCTCTGGAACAGTGAGTTACGCTGGGAAGTTTGTCTGGTGTCCTGAAATCTACTCTCCTAACCCCTTTCAGTGCTGCCCGACTTATTGCTAAAATTTAAATCTCCCCAGAAAAAGAAAAATAGCAGTACCTTGTATTTTCAGTCACAAGGTGAAGGATATGCCATTATTTACTTACTGCTCCCAGATATTTTCTTTTGAAATCTTATCTTCTATTGTGGCTCTAAAATATTTATGCGTCGTTGGGGAAAAAATACAGAAATTTAATGGCTCTGAGCCTTAGTTTTCTCACTGTAAAATAGGAATTTCATACCGCAGGGAAAGAGAGGGAATGGGAACTACAGTTCTTGAACCAGGACTTGTGCTGGCCTAACTTGGGGTGTTTCCCAGGTGAGGGGGGATTTTAGCAAACCCTTTTCTCTTTCTCTTCTTACTTTTCTTCTCTTTATGTTTTTCTCTTCTGGCTCACTTATATTGCCTTGATTTGATCCCCTCCTCTGTGTAAGCTTTTCTCTTCTTTTAAATTTTATTTTCTTCTGCCAAAGCAAAAGCTTTAAAGGCAGACATTCCTGGATCTGAACTACCCAAGTCCCCCTACTTACTACTAAAGTATCTTGAGAAGAACCCCTTAACCTGTCTCAGAATTATTTTTTTCTGTAAAATGGGATAATATCAGCCTTGCAGGGTTGTTATGTGTTGTCTCTTCCTACAGGAACTTCAGCTTTTGTCTGTTGTGGTCACTCCTGCATCCCTGGGCCTAGAAACAAATCTGGCACAGAGCACATAAATATATTTTAGATAGATAGATAGATACATACATACATACTTAAGATTTTATTTATTATTTGACAGAGAGAGCACAAGCAGGGAAAGCAGCAAGCAGAAGAAGAGGGAGAAGCAGACTCCCCACTGAGCAGGGAGCCTGATTTGGGGCTCAATGCCAGGACCCTGGGATCATGACCTGAGCCTAAGGGAGCTGCTTAACCAACTGAGCCACCCAGGCGCCCCTAAACATATTTCTTTAACCATTTAATGACCTAAAGAAAGTATGTATGTAGATCAGTTGACAAACTCTATTCAAAAAATGCTCTTTTCAAAGAGTATCCTATTTCCTACCATCTTTCCTGTTTTTTTGGGTTAATGTATGTAATGCTCGTCCAGCATGCATCTTTCAATGGAGCAGTCTTAATCCCTCCAGCTGTATTCCAGAATGCATTTTGAACCTCCTACAGCCAACCACACACACTTTCCATCTTCTGATAATAGCATAAAAAGTGAATTATCCATTTAAATTATAGATTATTTTAATGTTACTTTAAATTTATTCAACCACCAACCACTCTTAAACCACATGAATCTTCAAAGGGCCATATCAGTATTTCTTGGTAGGGACAGGGAATAGGGATCATATATTGTAGTAAACATTTCTTGATTTCTTCCGGGGAACTACCTTTCTCATCGTAGACCCTGGTATTGATTCAGGGGCAGTTGGGTTAATTAAATCATTCCGGTGCTTAGCACTCCTTCCCCACCCCAATTAGTTCAGGAATGGATGAGCAATCCGATCAGACCAGTCAGCTGCTAATTTGCTAATTCTAGCCCTACTGCTAGGTCAACTAGAGGTGTGCTCACTTCCTCTGACTAGTGGCTCCTGAGCCTGGGCAGCCATCTTATTTCCATGAGGAAAGAGGCAGCCTGCAGTGGATCCAATCTGAAGGAAGGGAGAGAGCTGAGGGATGGAGAACAGAGTCCTAGAACTCTTGTTTAAGAAGCCCTGAACCCAGTTCCACTTCTGGAATTCCCTAATGTACCTTCCCTAACACCTCACCCAATTTGCCTAAGCCGGTTGAGTTGTTTTTATTTTTCTGACACTAGCAAACAGAAAGATTCGAAATACTTCACAGACCTTTCCTCTGAAACCAATAAACATATGTTAATTAATCCAATTAAAAGAGTTAAAAAAAAAAAGATTCTGAATACAGAAATTACTTTGGCACACACTTCTCGGTACCTCAAGTTGAGAATCATGGCACTGAGTTTTTTTCTGATTCGCAAATTCACCCCTTACCAATTTCCTAAGCACTTTTTTTCTTTTTAAGGGAAAAAAATGACTGGTGGCCAGGCATAAATATCTATGTATAAGAATTAATACTTTAGGGGCGCCTGGATGGCTCAGTGGGCTACACCTCTGCCTTCAGCTCTGGTCATGATCCCAGAGTCCTGGGATCCAGCTCTGCATTGGGCTTTCTGCTCAGCAGGGGACCTGCTTTCCCCCCCACTCTCTGCCTCTGCTCTGCCTACTTGTGATCTCTCTCTCTGTCAAATAAATAAATTAAATCTTAAAAAAAAAAAAAAGAATTAATACTTTAGAGGCACCTCGGTGTTGCAGTCGGTTAAGTGTCTGCCTCCAGCTCGGGTCAGGGTCATTGGGATTAAGCCCCTCATCGGGCTCCTTGCTTAGCAGGGAGCCTGCTTCTCCCTCTCTTCTCCACTCATGCTCTCTCTCACTATTGCTATCTCTGTCTCTCTCTTTCAAATAAATAAATAAAATCTTTTTAAAAAATTAATACTTTAAGTATTTGATTGACTTCAAGTATAGAAAAAAATCTAGTAAGAGCATGGGCCATGATAATAGTTCAGTAACTACTTGGTTCAGTGACTGTACTGGCAGGAAGCAGATGGCACATTCAACAAAGAGTTAACTGAAGAGGTAATTATTTACAGGGCTAAGGAAACCCGCTTGGGAAGGGTTTGCTCCCTGTGGCAGTTCTTAGACCCCGAAGCAAGAAATGGAGCAAGATTACCAAAAGCAGCCAAATGCTATGGCTATGAATAGAGACCACTCTGGCCTTATGTAGAGGAACTGCAGCAGCCCAGTTTGGGGAGGGGGTTTGTGAGTAGGGATGTTTGGAAGTGGCATAACTGGACTTAACCTCTCTTCCCATATCCCCTCTTTTAATGGTGACTCCCACTGCCCAAAAGCCATCAGGAAACCTGAGGGCAAGAGAGCTGAGTGATGCAAGCTTAGAGCTCACAGGCACAGAGCAGGTCAGAGAAGACCAGAAAACTGATTCAGCACTGTGTTGTCCAATACAGCAGCCATTGGACACACATAGCTATTTGAGTCCCAATTTACATGTGCTGTAAATGTAAAATACATGCACTTAGTGTATAAAGAAAGAATGTAAAATATCTCATTTTTATATTAATGGTATATTAAAATGATAATTTTTTTATGTATTGGTTTAAATAAATGATATTATTAAAATTAACTTCAAAGGGCGCCTGGGTGGCTCAGTGGGTTAAGCCGCTGCCTTCGGCTCAGGTCATGATCTCAGAGTCCTGGGATCGAGCCCCGCATCGGGCTCTCTGCTCGGCGGGGAGCCTGCTTCCTCCTCTCTCTCTGCCTGCCTCTCTGCCTGCTTGTGATCTCTCTGTCAAATAAATAAATAAAATCTTTAAAAAAAAAATAAAAAAAAATAAAATTAACTTCATCTCTTTCTCCATACTTTTTAATTGTGCCTACCAGCACATTTAAATTACATGTTTAGAGGAGCCTGGGTGACTCAGTTGATTGGGTGGCTCAGTGAATTGGGCTTCTGCCTTCTGGTCAGGTCTTGATCTGATAGATAGTTTGTGATCAGGGTAGATCCTGCATCAGGCTCTCCACTCAGCAGAGAGTCTGCTTCTCCTTCCCCCTCTGCTCCTCCCCATTGCTTGTGTGCACTTTCTCTCTCTCTCTCTCTCTCAAATAAATAAATAAATAAATAACATATTTTTTAAAAAAGATTTTATTTATTTATTTGACAGACAGAAAGAGATCACAAGTAGTCAGAGAGGCAGGCAGAGGGAGAAAGGGAAGCAGGCTCCCCACTGAGGAGAGAGCCCTATGCGGGGCTTGATCCCAGGACCCTGAGATCATGACCTGAGCCAAAGGCAGGTGCTTAACCCACTGAGCCACCCAGGTGCCCCTAAATAAAATCTTTTTTAAAAATTTAAAAAAATAATAAAATTACATGTTTGACTCACATTATATTTCTATTGGAT